AAGGAAAGGAGTAGAGAAGAGGGAAGGAGAGAGGGAGAGGGGAAGAAAGAAGAGAGGGAGAGGGAGGGAGGAGGAGAGGAGGAAGGAAGTCGAGGGAGGAGAAGGGGGAGGGAAGGAGGAGGAGGAAGAGGGAGCTTATGGTGATGATGAAGAGGCCACACGCAGTGCGTCCTGAACGGCTACACGCGAGTCCCCATCGAGCGTGATTACGCTTAAGACTCAGAGTTAATTTCATCATGGGATCAAGGAGTAGAGCAGCGTGTTTTAATGTCGCTATAATGTCTGAGGAGACCCGGTGCCCGCTAATACGCCACGCTATCCGGCTATAAGGGATAAAGAGGAGTGGGTATAATATAACGCACATATAAGGAACAACCAATCATACGGCGAGCAAACTAAGGCAGCGAAAATGAAAAGGAAGGCAGCTGACATCAAGAAGAACATTGTGATAAAGAGACGCGGGTATCTAAACACGATACCCTCGGATCGAATGAATACAGATTACTGCTCTATATTGATTCATCATCAATAGAAGTAGATTATCCCAATCGATAGTGTCAATGATTGTCACAGCGGTAACAGTCCAATAATCAGACAGTAATAGAAAGGCGAATACGATAAGCAATGGATATAAGGCCACGAACGACTAAAGTGAACAGATTAGGAATGGCTAGAGTATTATAGCGATAATAATAATAATAGAGAGAAAATGGATTAATAAGAATAGTAGAGAAATAATAATGGGATGATATAATTAAGTAATAATAAAATAATAATCAATAATAACAATAATAAGTAGGACAGAGTAAGTAAGAATACAACACTGGAAAATAATTAATAAATAAACAGAAATATCAACAACAATACCGAAAACCTAAAATAAATAAACATAAACAGCAATGACAGTAAAACAAAAAAAAACGTCAATCACGAACGATAATACCCATAATACCAACAGCAATACAGCCACCACCAAAAACCACTTAGAGCAACCACCAAAAACCAGCCCGGGGTTCTTTCCACCACCGCCGGAGAGTGCCACTATCACGGGGAGATCACAGCACAGGTGTTATCAGTAATGTGTTAGATAATACTCCCAACTGGTGTGTTCACATACTTATCTAAAAATAACATGTATATAAAATGATATATATAATATATGATATATATATATATGTATAAATTATGTACTATTACATTGTACATAGAGCGGTTTTGGTGTAATTCGTTGGTGCTGCACACACTGAGCTTTTCAAATAACGGATGTATGTCAGCTAAAAAAAGGAAATAAATATCACCTTCGGAAGATGATTATTGCTCTATTTTTTTCCTCCCTTTCGTCACTTTGCTCTCGCTCTATCTCTCTTTCCTCTCGCTCGCATTTTTTCTTTCTTTTCTTTACCTTCCCGCCTCTGGCCTTCACTATCAGAGAGTCGGATTTTATTCGTTTCCACACGAGGCACGTGGGCTGAGCACAGGGAGAAAGGGGCCCGACGCAGTCATGCTCAATCGTACATCTGCTCTCATCACATGCTTCGGCAGTGCCATCGTCACTCAGTCTCTCTCCTCATCAAAGGGCAGAGGTGATAAATAGAGGGGGAAGCCTCGAGAAAATCAGCTCTGGCCAATGCTCAGATTCGGAGTGAAATCGAAGGAAGAGAAAAAAGATAAGAAACTCGAAAGAAGGCAGATCATGAAAGTCAATAGATCTTCAATGAGGAGACCTCTCCACCTCACACCTCAAATGTCAACTCACACACAAGGCCCAGATCACTCCACATCACGTACCTCGGCCGGGGAAAGGGTGAGGAACAGGAAGGAAAAGGCGAGGTAGAACGAGAAAAAGGAAAAGAGAGAACGAGAAGAAAGAAAGGTTGATAAGACGATAATCACCAGATTCAACGAAAAGGTAGCAGCAAAGTCATAAGAGATTGCGGGGTCACTCAGCTCATTCACATCACTTCACTCACTCCGGTCACTCATGTCAACATAACTCACTCACCTCAGTCACTCACGGTGCGGGATTGAAACCTATCGAGTACGCATTCTCACTGACTTCTTCTAGTCTATCCGAGAGAGAGTCAGTACGACAGTGCTGATGGCCAGACTGTCTACTTTACTCCTGACTTGACCTTGACCAGGTTACGTCAGATACAGTCTCAGCCTAAATCTCAGTCTCTCTCTAATCAAATCACATAAGCAGCAGGAGAGGCGTCACACATCACCAGGACCACGGAGAGAGGCGAGAGCGGAGGCGACAGCAACTACATACGCTAAAGGAGGCAAGGAGGAAGCGAAACACGGTACAACATCTGCACAGAAGACAGAGGACGATAAGCTACACTATCACACTCACCATCACACTCGACACTGACGCGACACAGGAGGAAAGGCAAAGGGAATCGAAGAGGAAAGAAGGGCGGAGGCAGGGAGGACGGCAAAGAGAGCATTTCACGACGAGGAGCGGAGGAGGCGGGGAAAGATACACAGGAAGGAGGCCAGGAGGAAGCTAAGATAAAGAGGAACGAGAGGCGGTGGCGAAGAGGAGGTAGTAACACCTCACACACTCACACACTCACACACTCTCTCTCTCTCCACCCCTTCCAACACTCTCCCTCTCCCCTTCCCCCTCCACCCCCCACCACCACCAGCAGCACCCCCAAACCGCCCCCGTCGCTTTACCAGGATCTCGCGCCGCTCCCATGTCTCCCGTCGTGCGAATGTAACCAGCGCCCCGACAGATCGCTCCCGTCGCCGCTAAACCGCCTCCGATCCTGCCACGCGCAAACTGTGCCGCCGAAACGACTCCCGCCCCATTAAAAAAACGACACCATTAAAACCGCGGGGCGAGTTTGACGAACGCAACAGCCTTTTAAGGTCGCGGGAGCGTGCGCGGAGACGCGTGTTCCCCGACGCGATGCTATGCCACGCGCGAACCCAATTAACGAGCATCTACGCACGCAAGCACGCACACAAACACACACACGCACACACGCACACACACACACACACACACACACACACACAGATTTTGACACATTTACGCACACGCATGGAACTAATTTCGTGCAATCTCCCGCCTACCGAGATGTACCTATGCAACTATTTCCAGAATCTTCTATCACTGCACTCATCACACCAGAATTTATGAAGTGGGGGATAAAGAGAGAAAGGAGACAAAATAAAAGAAAAACGAAAAATGGAAGAAAGAGAAAGAGAGAGAAGAGGGGAGGAAAGGGAAAATTCAAGAGAAGAGGGAAAAGGCACGAAACAGCGAGGAGAGGAGAGGGAGAGGAGAGGAGAGGAGAGAGGGGAGGGAGGGAGGGAGGAGGGGAGGGGAGGGGAGGGGAGAGGAGAGGGGAGGGAGGAGAGAGAGAGTAGAAGAGAAGAGAAGAGAAGAGAAGAGAAGAGAAGAGAAGAGAAGAGAAGAGAAAAGGGGAGAGATGAGAAAGAAGATCAGAGATACGAAGAGAAGAGAGGAGAGAAGAAAGAAAAAAAAAGAGAACAGACCAGAACAAGAGAAACGAGAAGAGAATAGAAAAAAAAAAAAATAAAAACTAAGAGAACCCGGCAAAAGATGGTACGAAACCGGCGCGCGCCATCCCCAAACCTGCAGTAACTCAGGGTGGTGGTGCTGCTGCTGCTCCCTCCCCGACCCGACCCGACCACCTGCGCCAACAATGCCTCGCGCGGACCACCTGCACCGCCGCGGCTCATCGCCCTCCATCACGGGGTCCCGGGCCATCTGCCGTGCCATCGCTGCGGCACCTTCGCCTGGCCCTGCTCTGGCACTCTCCGAAAGGCGTTGCTAGGCTCTCACCTTTGGCGTTACCTCTAACAACCGTGTCATTTCTTCGCTATGGGGGATTTTTTGGGCTTTGAATTCACTGTAGTAAATTCACCTTCCTTGTCGCAAATATATATG